TGGGAGGTGGTGAGGCTTGTGGTTGAGAGAGAGGCTTGTGGGAAGCCGGTGGTGGCAGTTGGGCTCTGAGGGTTTCTTTTCCTGAGGAGCTGTTTTGTTTGGCCTGTGTGGTTCTAAAAATAAAGTTTGTTTCTTTTGACAAGTGGCTCCTGAATTGTGCCCAGCCAGACTKCGGCACAACCCTCCCTGGACCACAGCCCACTCTCTGGAGGGCAGCTTCTGCAGAAATGGAGTTGGGCTGTGGAAGTTAGCCTCTGCCACAGGCCCCATCTCATGACAGACACCATCATTCATAAAAGACTTAAAGTTGGAAAAAATTTTCAAAATCCATGGAAGAAATTTGTCACAGAAAATTACAGAATGGGGGGTATTCTTGGAAGTGGTGCTTTCCCGAGCCTCTTAACCCTCCTGCAGTTTCTATCACCCCTTTATCGACATTCACCCCACGCTGTGCTGAATACTACGTACCTACTTTCATGTTTCATATTTACATGTTTTTTTCACAAGCTCATGAGATTGACTTTTGGACATCTGAACTAAGACCACTCCTGGGAAATCTGCCAAGCTGCCTTCCTCTTCTTTCCTTACGTGGTTCAAGATTCGGCTTATGTTCCCTAGGCAGCACAGTTCCATTCTCTTCTCTCTGTCCCACTGGGACCTGTGAGCTGGTGTCTGAGAACATCTCTGCCTGCCACCTACCTTCCTACAGCTAGTCCAGTTTATGTACGGAGAGATCTGAGGCAGCCCATGCTTATGGGTCAGGGATTTTCAGAGAAAAAGAACCAATAGAATATTGAACCAATGTATTCTACTAGAATATAGAACCATTCTATTGGTTCTTTATACACACATAAGCAAACACACACGTATATTTGTATATGTATACATGCATATATAAATCATAAGAGGAGATCTATTAGATTGGCCTACACAGTCAGGCTGATACTCCCACAATGGCTGCCTGCAGGTGGGAGAGTCAGGGAAACCAGTAGTCACTCAGTCCAAGAAGTTGGAAGCCTTTGAACAAAAGAGACTGAAGATGCAGCCCTGGTCCAAGGCTGAAGGCCTGTAAGCCTCCTGGACAGTTGCTGGTACAAGTCCACCRCCAACACTGAAGGATACAGAAGCTGAAGTCCACGCCAGGGCAGCAACAAGGACTGCACCTGCTCAAGAAGAGCTTTGCAGCTGCTCACAGTGGCCACACCTGTAWTTCCAGTGACTCTAGAGGCTGAGGCAAGAGGATCTCAAGTTCAACGCCAGCCTCAGCAATGGTAAGACACTATGCAACTCAGTGAGACCATGTCTCTAAATAACATACAAACTAGGGCTGGAATGTGCCCCTGAGTTCAATTCCCCCCCCCCCAAAAAGCTGCACATGTGCACAGCCGCAGGCTACCCCTATCCCTTCCTTCCATTTGTTTTGTTGTTGTTGTTCCAAATGGTCCCCCAGCCTACTGGGTGGTCCACTTCTGGGTGGTCTTACCCCCTCTCAGTATGCCACATGCCAATTGTCTCTGGAAACACACACCCAGAAATRTACTTTATCAGTTTTCTAGACATGTCTTAACCCAGGGGAGCTGGCCACTGAGATTAACTGGCACAGTATGTCTTCTGCATAGTCATAAACCCCCTGGAACCTAACCAAGCTACTTTCCTGTAGCTGATGCTTAATAACCATGTATTTGAATAATGAATGCATTCCAATCTTCTAAGTCTTATTTATTAACTATTCCTTTAGTTCTTAATYCTAATAATGTCAGAATCAAGCAGGAAAAAATGATACCATATCAAACTTTTCTGGGGATAGGCTTCAGAAATCTCTCTAACAAGCTCCTCAAGCAATTCTGAAGCAGCCACTTTGTTCCAAGCCTGAGGACTGGCATTTGAGAATCAAAGGGCCACTCTGTCTTTCTTGACCCCAGAATCCTATAACATCTCCCTTTCTCCACTATCCATGTAGCCCTAACCATTTTCTCTTAGCAACCAAAAATCAATAACCAAGCTCACCCATCCTGAGAGTCTCACCATGAGACAAAGACATGCTTGCAAAGCAYTCAGCAAATATTAAGCTCTGCTGCATATTAAAACTTTCCCTAGCCAAGCAGTCCCCATCTTCAAATAAGTGACCATGTCTGCAACTCTAAGTCAATGGAGATGTACTTCCTGGACACTGTTTTGCCCAGTGTTGGACTCTCATCTTTCAGCTGTCTTTGTGTCTACTTGGTATTTTGGAATCTCGTGCTCTCAGATGGCCTGATTCTGCTGTTTCTCTCATGCTGACCCCACCTGCAGGGTCCCCTTCTGGGGAGTGTTTTGTAAAGAAGCTGTTAAAGTAGAACAAGCAGATTTGAGAAGACTGCCATCTGGTTTCCATGCTGCAGAGGCTCACATGAGCCTTGAAAATATCTGTCCATCCGGTGGGGTTGGGGGTAGAAGGTCCTGGGATTGGCTGACAGGGAAGGGCTGCCTAGCAGACTTTCCGCCCTGGGAGCTCCTGCAGTCAGACCCTGTCACCGTAAGCTGAGAGAAAGAGCATCCCCTTGTAGCAGAASAGTCTGCGACATCTGAAGTCTTAAGCAAACCACCTCATTTTTACATTCCATATCCCAGAGGTACGCACTGTACAGCCACCTTYGTGGCACCTCAGAACTGTGAGGGAACGAACTTCCTATCTGATCCCTGGCATTCTGCCCTCTTGCTTGTGTTTTCTTTCCAGACTCCTGGGGTGACGAAAGGACCAGAGTTTTCAGCTGTACATTCACATGTGTATCATTTTAGTCATTTGCATGTTATATGCCATGTGTATTTTATGTATACTTAAAATATAGGTTTATTTTCCTTATTTGATGAAGACAAAGAAAAAGTGGGGCTATGAAAATGTAATTAGACTTTTAAAACGTGGAATTTTAGAGCTAAAAGAAATCCTAGAGATTATCTAAAACAACCAGCCCTCTTTTAGGGGATAAAGTAGAGGTGCACTCCTGTCTCCCCGTTTCCTAAGAATTTTCTTTCGGGGATGGGAGAAGAGCTCTTACCATGCTCTGCCAGGCCTCTGCCCCTCTGGGAAGATGTAGTCCTCCAGCGTAGACAGGTCACACATCTTGCATTTGGTGGGGACAAACCCAGCTTGTGCAAGATTCATACCTCATACCCCGGCAGTGACGAGTGGTTTCTGGAGAAAGCAAAGATTAGAAGAGAACCCTACAGGTTTCTTCCTCTTCCATTGACAGTGACYCCGGAAAACCAATCTGTGCTCACCCTCACTGAAGCCAGAGCAGGTATCGCACACCAGAAGCCCCCGACTCTGTCTCCCCACCGGGCCCTGTCCTAGTCTGAGAATGGCAGGACTGTGCTGGCCAAGGCAGCAGCAGCACGGTGGCTGCTCCTGGGGTCACCTCAGCTCCAGCTTCTCTCCTAGTCCAGGTGTCCCCTGCCTCGCCCCCAGCAAGCTGAACCATGAGTCAGAGACCACGGCCCCCTGACCCACCAGCTGACCCCAGCAGCGCTCCTTCCTCTTTCTTCATGACTTTCCATTCCATCGGACGTCATTTGTTGGCCAAATGATCTGGGTCACTTGCTCATGTTCTCTGGCACTCAGTGTCCTCGTCTGGAAACAAGAATCCTGGTGCCCATCTCACAGGGTTGCTGTGAGGACAGAAGGGGTGGTGCGGTGAGCACTCTGGCCGTGGGCCGATGGCTCTTCCTCACCAGCAGTGGCCTCCTCTCAGGAAGACACGTCTTCTGCTTTCTTCTCTCACTTCACAAGAAGCGGCCACGTTCTCCGACAACAGGGACGTCAACACACCCGGGTGATGCAGAGCTTGGGTCAGAGTCTGTCTGCTTCTCTTGGGATCCGCGTGAACTCATACCCGTGTGCCATAGCCACACATTTGGAAATGTCCTCACCAACTTGACATTTGAAAGGGAATTCTAAACCTAGGCCACACTTTCAACTCTGTAGATAACTCAGCTGTTTCTCTCTCCTGCTACTTCCGCTTATTTCCCCTGAACATTACGTTGTAAATGCATTGACACACTGACATTTCAAGCTCTTTTCATTTTAAGCTGTTTCTCCTTGAAGATTTCTCACCACCAATCCCTGTCTGCTCCCTCTCAGGGATGAAAATATCAGAGGGAGAAGGAARCAAGTCATGTAACTAAAAAGAGAACTGCATGTTTGAGGAACATAGACCRCATTGTTGGCCTGTGGAAAAGACAGACCACTGCTGTCAACTGTGTGGCCACTGTGCAAATCCAGAGGCCCTGAGTCTCAGTGGGCAGTGATCAGATRGAAAAGAAGAAGAAAAATAAAAATTGAAGAAGGTGCTGTTTTCAAACARAGTACATATTTGGGTTTTTTTAAAAAGGAGAAAAAAGCCTGAAATTTAATAATTATGTCAAAAGAGAAAAAGAACACAGATGGAGGAATTTCCCTGTGCCCTTGGWCATGCCATCTGCCTTATAAACACTTATTTTAACACTTTTAATTTCATTTTAAAACCATTATAATTATATTTTCGGTTGGTGAATTTATTTGTCAATATCATAGTTATTTTGACCAGATCCTATCCTCCAGGTTTCCAATGGTGAGTAGAATAAAGAAATATAATGGTCTTGGCAACTTCACTCAGTGAAGACACAGGGCATCTTCCCCYGCACAGTACTTTTGCTAAGGAGAGCTAATATTTATGGAGCATGAATTCTGTGCCCTGCAYAGTTCTCAGTACCCCCTCAAGCCACCTCCCTTGCACGACACTCCTGTGAGCCATGTTACGCCTTGTTCTTAGAGCTGAAGTCTGTCTGGGAGGTGGCCAACCCCTGCCTCTGATACTGACTTGGCTGCAYCTGGAATGTGACTGTAAATCTCAGGTCTGGACAGTGGGTCTCTAATCTGCAAGTGTGACACCCCATTGAATCATCTCAGAGGACTCTGCCCCCTCTAAAGTACCCGGATTTGGGGCTTCTATGTTTTGTTTCTAGAARACTGGATTTTAAAATTCATAGAATATTTTAAAATGGAAAACAGGGAAGACTACTGGAACAAAGCCCTTGGCAGCTGTCTGAGGGTGCAGAACAGGGTGCCGGCTGAGCTTGGCTTGGGAGTCACGAGTTTCTATCTCAAGCAAGAAAGAATCAKAAATTGTGGATAAGGAGGTTAGCGTGATTCAAAATGAAAAGTAAGTCTAAAAGCCAGAAAAGGATAGGATGGGAAGAGATTTCCAGGATAGGTAAGTGAGGAACRGGGCAAGGGAGTTGAGCACCATGACATGTTTTCCCTTTTAGAAGACCATCTGCTGAAACCGAACACAAGAACACAATGGGATTGAAGGATAARCAAAGCAAAGAAAATTCTGAGAAGTCTTCAGACAGAGCAACTTCCAGAGCAGCCAACTTCCTCAGCCAGGCACTGTGGCACAGGCCTGTAATTCCAGTGGCTCTGGAGGCTGAGGCAGGAGGATAGCGAGTTCAAAGCCAGCCTCAGCAACTGTGAGTTGCTAAWCAACTCAGTGAGACCCTGTCTCTAAATAAAATATGAAATAGGGCTGGGGATGTGGCTCAGTGATCCAGCGCCCCTGAGTTCAATCCCTGGTATTCCCCCCACAAAATAAAATAAAAGGGAAATGTGTGCCTTCTCTTCTGTCTAGCAGAAGTCTGTTGAGGGCTCACTGGCTACGCAATGTGGTCCAACCTCCACACAGTAGAGAGCCACAGAAAGGGGTAAGGTGGATGTTGGGGACGGAGGCTTCGTAGCCCTTGGGCACTGAGTTAGTGGCTTCTGTCAAAGGGGACAAGAAGCAATGGCAGGGATGGGCTCYGTGGTGGAGCACTTGCCCAGCCTGCAGGAGGCCTGGCTCACCCCAGCTCTGGCTATGAGTGAGCTCCAGAGGGGAGCCCGGAGCTCTGCTGCCCTCCAATCTCTACTGCTCACAGGTGGAGAGGCCAGGGCCCACAGAGGCCAGGGCAAGGCAAGGTCGGCACGCCAAAGATACTCTCATTTACTATCTTAAATATGTGAATACGCCAAGAAAAAGAAGAAGAAATTTCCCAAAGAAATAACTAATCAGATATTTTTGGACCCTTCAGTCATCCAGTAATTGCTGTTTGTGCTTTGAGATGGGTTTCTTTGTGGCCTTGAACCCATGATCCTCCCATCTCTGTCTCCTGAGTTGCTGGGATCGCCACGCACCACTGCACCAGCTAAGCAATCTGTTTTCAAGGTCATGGTATTAATTTATCATGTCTTCTAAAACTGCTGATTATGTGTAAGAAATTGTGAATCAGCTGAATAAGCTTAAGTCTATTGTCTTTATATTGTCCAATTTAGGGTCTAACACTAATGACAAGATTCTAAAATACAAGCATTAAGCAGAAGAAAATACATATTTCAAAAAACCACTAAACAAACACAAAGTGCCCTCCTTAGAGGAAAGCAGCAACATCACAAGGGCCTGGAAAACTGTAGAAAATCAACCCAGAGCTATTTTTGRCAGTTGTAATTTTTTAAATGTTATCTGTTAAAAGTAAAAAAGAATGAATCAGAGGTGAAATGAAGATTCATCACTGAGAAAGAAAAAAAATTGCATGAATTTTTAGTGACTTACTGTTTATGTATTTTCATTAGTTATTATTTTCTTTTTTTAAAAAAGAGAGAGTGAGAGAGAGAGAGAGAGAATTTTTAAATATTTATTTTTTAGTTTTCAGCGGACACAACATCTTTGTTTGTATGTGGTGCTGAGGATCAAACCTGGGCTGCACGCGTGCCAGGTGAGAGCACTACCGCTTGAGCCACATCCCCAGCCCTAGTTATTATTTTCATTGTACACATTTGCGGGGGGGGGGGCAGTGTGACAGTGACTTATGTACGTAGTGTCTAAGGATGATTAGGAAGTTCACATTTAAATGAATGTCGTGTGTGTGTGTGTGTGTGTGTGTGTGTGTGTGTGTGTGGTGCTGAGGATTGAACCCAAGGCCTTGGGCACGCAAAGCAAGCACTCTATCAGCTGAGCTATATCCCCAGGCCCTGAGTGCTTTAATTTAGCTGCTACATCTATAACGTACAATAGTTGCCGTGTCTCATTTTCAGAAATGGCAAAAATCTGCAAGGAGRCAAAGAGGGGAAATGCTTTGAAAGTTATTTTATAGCTAGAAGCTGGGACTTAGGCAGTGAGCCAGCCTCTGTGGCCCTGGTCACCTGCACCATCCATGGCCCAGGGCTGAGGGTGGAGCRTGGCATGGCTGGTGTCCTCTTCCATCTGAGATGGAGCTTGGCCGTCGCTTGGTCCCTGCCTTCCTGAGCACAGCCGGCTCCTTGCCGGCTGTCCTGCCCTTGGTCCCTCCTGGGAGCCTGGAAACCGTGAGCCCCAGGGACTTGAACAGGTCGCGTCCATGTATCCTGCTGCTGTGAGAGAGCCCTCAGGCTGCGCGGTCCCTAAACAGCAACCCTCTGTTCCTCAGTCTGGAAGCCTGGAATCCAAGATCAGGCGCTGGCAGTTCCAGGCTCTGGCAGGGCCACGTCTGAGTGCTGTGCCAGTGTGGAAGCATGAAGGCCAGACGCCATGGCAGAGGGCTCTCCTAAAGGCCTGAACCTACTCCCCTGGTCACCTCCAGAAGGCCCTCCTCTTCTACTCCTGCCCTGGGGACTGCATTTCCTCCAACGAGAGTGGGGGATACAATCCTCCTGCCACACAGCCCTGTGATTAAAGATGGAAGCCAACACCTGGCTGTCCCCAGTCTGGTGGGCAGCGTGTGCATCCAGGGAGAGGACCCGGAAGCTGGCGACGCTCCTCCTGGGGGTTCTCCCCATCAGGCCAGACGTGCCTGAGAGCCTCTGCAACCTGCTGGACCTCCTGCCTTGGG